ATCATCTGGTCTTCAGGAGCCAGCTGTGCCTCTTAGACCTCTCAGTTACAACAAACCTGTGGCCTCTGCCCCACACCCCCGCACGCAGCTACAGTGTGAACGGAGAGGCTGCCTGCCCCGCCCTGGGAAGGTCAGTAGCCTCCTAAGAAGCCGCCGCGGCCAGGGCTGGGCCAGGCCGGGGGCAGGACTCACCTTGCCGGTCTGCAGGGTGGGGGGGATGAGAGTGGTAGAGAGTCTGCTGGCTCTGCCGGATGGCCGCGGTCAGCGGGAGGTCCGCCTGCACCACCCACTCCTGGTTGCCGTTGAGCACCGTCTCGCCCGGCATGGCGAGGGAATGCCGCTTGGGGACGTCCTTGGTCAGCGTAGCTAAGGACTGCTTGGCCTGGAGAGAGGGCCGGGAGACAGGAGAGAGAAAATGGGATCGAGGGGATCTCCCGGCCTGTCGCTCGGCCAAGACCCACCGCGGTGAGAAAGCCATGGATCCGCCCTCGGTACCTGGGCAGCTCTGACTCTGAATGGCATGGCCCATCAGAGTCTAGCACCTGCACTGCAGGCCTCGCTTTGGGGTGGCCCCTTAGTTCCTGCTAACACAAAGGGAGACCAAGGAGACGCGAGAGAGGGAGACCAAGGAGGCAGAAGAGAGGGGGTCCAAGGAGACACTTATCACCCATTCTTTCGAGTTCTCTAAGGAGCAGCTGGGATTTGAATGAGATTGGAGGAACATGGGTGTTTGCCTGACCACCCTAACTCCTCCCAAATTCAGCCCACGAGCTCCCCTTTACAAGGTGCTGTGCAGTGCAGGCAGGGGACAGAGCAAACCCTCAACCTGGCTCCCAGGATCACAGGAGGAAGCCCAGGAAGAAGTCTGGGGCTGACTTAGGGCAGGAGGGATAGTCCAACATCTCTCAGCCTTGGGGGATCTCCCTGCCACGTAGGTGGGGTTTTACTGAAGTGATCTCACATTACTTGGGGGAGAAATGGGCACATGTGAGCCATGCATTAATGCATATTCTTTTCACCACAGTCTCTTTCTCTTTCTTAACTGGTTCCCCAAGATCATGCCAGGGTCGAGCAGGGACACAGGCAGGGGCCCAAGGGTCTTGAACCGAGCTCTCCAGTGAACCTGACAACCCGGGACGTTGCTACAGATAACAGAGTCACCATGAGTGCTGGCTTTGACCCTGATATGAACACGGGTTAAAATTTAAAAATCTCATCTGTCCTAGCTCCAGAATGTTCTATACCTTGCCCAAGGTCCCACTCTTCCTGGCAGAGCAGGAGCTCTTGGGAAAGAGATTCCAAACAGAGAAATGGATCGTCGTTGGCCTAAAACCTGATATACCCTTATCCCGTTGACCAGCTATGTTTAAAATCACTGCCAGGGTGCCTGGGTGGCTCAGTTGGTTAAGCGTCCGGCTTCGGCTCAGGTCATAATCTTGCAGTTCACAGGTCCGAGCCCCGCATCAGGCTGTGTGCTGACAGCTCAGAGCCTGGAGCCTGCTTCGGATTCTGTGTCTCCCTCCCTCTCTGCCCCTCCTCTGCTTGCACTCCCTGTCTCTCTCAAAAATAAACAAACATTTAAAAAAAAAAAAAAGTTAAAGTCACTGCCTTCTCTGAGCCTCGGCTTCCCCACCTGTAAAATGAAAACCCCAGAGCGAGGACACCCCAAGTCTATGAGATCACCCCCCCTTCCGCGGCAGAGGGAGGCTGAGTTGAAGGTGTCAGCCCTGTCCCCCAAGCCAGAAAGCTATCACGTGCTCAGCACGACAGCCCTGGGCTTCAGGTAGGGAAGGTAAGATTATTTGTGCTTGACAGAGGAGGAACTGGAAGCTGAGAGAAGTGACTTCTTCAAGAATGCACAGCAAGTACAATGTTCAAGTTGGGTCCCAAGGCTGGGAGCCTGGCCCTGAGCCCTGGGGTTTCCATGGCACCCACGCTCCTCAGCGGCAAGCAAAACAACCACACAAGTGATGCAGACTCTGGGTGCACGGAGCAGAGGACGGGGTGTGCCTGGTCACCATGAAATCCGCAGCACCTCGCTCGGGGCAGGGCACATGCAGCGATCGGTAAAAATCCGCAGCATCAACGGAAGCAGGCCCTGCCGTGTCCAGGCTGATGGCTCAGGGAATCCGCTGTGTTAACTTACTGCAAGAACAGCAGCCTAATCCTTCTGCTCAAGGAAGGGGCAAGCGGCGTGTATCTCCGAGCTGCCACAGGCTTGCGGCCACCCAGCACCATGGAGACCCTCACTTCCTGGCCGCCAGGGCCCTTCAGCTGGGAACACATCTCCCTTCCCTCTAGGTCATGTGCATCTGGCCTCCTGGCCCACCATCCCGGGCACCACTCCACGTGCTAAGCTGCCCTGCTTCCTCTGGGCCCCATCCGTCTCGGCTGCCTGGAAGGTGGACCGGGGTGGAGACACGAGCCCCAGGTCAATCTGCCATCATGCTAATTAACCCCCAGCTCGGCCTTCTCGCAAACATTCGCGGGCACGTAGGCGGGAAGCACGGGAGAACCCAAGGCAAGATGCCCTCTCTGTCCCCTCCTGGCTTTCTTCTCCCAGGGGGGGCTTCGTCTCCATCTAGGCCTGGGAGAGGCACCTTGTAACTCAGCAGGCAGCTCGACATTGCTACCTGACAACTGGGAGGTCCCCCGTGGTTGGTCCTGCAGGGTGGGGCGGTGGTACCCCTGAGTTCTGAAGCACAGGGACCTCTTACAAATGGCCCACTTGTGGCAGAGACAAGACCTACAAAAAGCGGCCTGTAAAGTCTAATTTAAGATACAGGCATGTGCGCACACGGGATCCGCTCCCCGTGGCAGTCTACGCAGCATTTCTCGGGCTGACCGCTTCTGCTAAATGCAAGTTAATGCTGGGAGCTCCCCCTGAGCTCTGACTCCCTCTTCTCTCTGAGCCTTTACCCTCTCTGAGCACTCTGCACCCGAAGTTTCGAGCTACTGGACATTGGCTCAAACACCGTTATGACACGAGTCAGAACTGGGTTCAAATTCCACTTCTACTGTTTAACTTGCTGTGTGACCTTCAGCAAGTTCCTCCACCTCCCTCAGCTTCAGGGCCCTCCCTAGTAAGACGGGGGGCGGGGGGGCGGCAGAGGAAGATCACTGCCATGTAAGTAGCACCCCCTGGAGTTGTGGGACGAGGGGGCTTTGGAGTCTGGGCTCTGAAACCCGACTGCCTGGGTTTGAGCCCGGCTGTGCCACTTCCTGGTGGAGGGGGGATCCTGGGCGAGGTCCCTCACCGCTCTGTGCCTTCATGCCCCCCCTGTCAGATGGGGATAACACAGTTGCTATGCAGAGCCCCGGCCTAAGATAAAAATACTCAATAAAGGTTAGTGACTGTTAAATCCTGAAACATCTTCCACCTCACAAGTAGGAGTTAGGCGTGAACTAAGTCCAATGAAGGCCCAGGACGCCAGCTGCACCACTGCCATGTTCCATAAGAAGCAGTGATCGAGGTTGGTGGGATCATTTATGCCCTAAGACGGGCCGATAAGATCCAGGGGGTGGCAGGACCCTGCCCGGGGCCTCCCTCTGGATCGGGGCTGATGAAGGCGCCTGACCAGCTGGAGGGTCTGCTGACCCGCAGCCAGGAGGTGTTCCATGTTGGACAGTAAGCCTGGGCCCCCGAGGGATGCCGGGAGCACAGCTCAGCGGAACCCTTCGTTAGCTTTCCGAGGGATTCCTGCTTGTCCAGGGAACGTCTCTGCTGGCCAAAGGCTGCTGGGGGGGATCCTCCAAGAAAACACCAGCAGGCTGTGAGGTCTGGCCCGCTGCTCCCAGACGGCAATGGCCCAGGGCCGGGGGGGTGGTGCCTGCGGCAGGCGGGTTTCTTGGGAGTGAGGGCAGAAGCAGCACCAACCCAGAGCACGGCCTCCAGAAAAGGAATGGAGACTCGGGCCATTCCCATCATCCCCCTGCCGCCTGACCCCGCCTCTCCCCCACCCCCACTGCACCGCGCCCGACTCTCGCCTGGGTCTGTGGCGGCTGCCATTTTCACAGATGAGGAAACTGAGGCCCAGGCAGGTTAAGAGTGACTCCTGAGGTCACACGGTGACTGGCCAGTGGAACGGAATCTGAAGACAGGATGGGTCTAGGTGCCCAACACCAGTCAGTAAGTGACCCTCACTTACCCACCGCCCCCCCCCCCCCGCAGCGGAAGGCCTTGTAGCCCTGACTTCACATGTGTGCAAACTGAGATTCAGAGAGGTTAAGTCCCTTGTCACAGGTCACACAGCCCGAACATGGCGGGACCCAACGGGGACTCCGTTAGAACGGAACAGCTAAGAGATGCTAAGATTAGACCATCCCACGCTCGACGCTTGAGAAACGTCCAACTTTACAGAAGGCGGGCTCTCCACAGGGGTGAGACCCACCCCCACCTCCCCCAGGGAACCCTGGGAAATGCCCGGAGACTTCTGATGGTCACGGGTGGGAGGTGCCCAAGGCATCTAGCAGGTGGAAGCCAGGGAAGCTGGTGGCCATCCTCCAGGGCACAGGAAGGCCTCACAACAAAGACGGACCGGCCCCAAATGTCAACAGTGCTGAGGGTGAGAAGCCCCGTTGACCGACTGTGTAGTGAACATAAAAAAGCCTCCTGTTCTGGAGAGACAGTGCTGATAGGAAACTAGGTCAACACAAACCAAGGTCCTGGGGGGCAGGACTGGCCTGCCCTTGGGGGAAGCATGTGCTCTCGGGGGCTGGCAGGCCCGTCTCCCTCCCCCTCCGTGTGACGGAGGCCAGGCCAGCGAGGAGGGCCCGAGGGACATGCGAGGGTTGGTGGGGGAGGGGCCCCTTCAGGCCAGCAGCCGGATGTCCCTACGGAGGCCCCGCACGGAGCCGAAGCCTCCACGTCATGAAGCTCGAGGCCTCCCCGACTCCCAGCTCTGCCTCTCAACCCGCTGGGCAGCTCTGGGTGAGCCTCTCGCCCTCCGAGCCCGCTTCCACGTCCCTAAAGCGGGCACCACAAGAACGTGAGGGGTGACGGCCGATGGATATGGGTTTCCCTTTTGGGGCGGGGGGGGGGGGGCGGTGCAAGCTGTTCTAGAACCGAATTGTTTGGTGACGGTCGCACAGCTCTGTGAACGTTCTAAAACCCACCGAACTGTACATCTTGCAAGGCTGAGTTTCACGGGATGTGACATCTCAGTAAAACAACATATTAAAAAATACATGCATTCTCCCCACGGGGTGGTGCCACGAAGCCAACGCGGCCACAGAGGTGAAGCCACGCCACGTGCGGGAATGTCTGGCTGGGCCGGAAGTCGTCATCGGGAAGACGTCCACCCGAAGGGCAGGCGGCCGAGGGGGAGCGTGGGTGCTGCCGCCAGCGAACATCGAGGGGCTTTGCTTCTTGGGAAGCCAAAGCCTTTGGCTCTTTCTTACTCAGGTGAAGCAGCTACGCAAGGTGTGTGGAGACCGGGGAGGGGGCGGTGCCGAAAAGCTAGGACAGGGCCCGCTCGTTCTCACCGGGCACCAGGCTGCTTTCCACGGGTCTCGTGTCACGGCATGATGGGCGGGTGGGAACTGACCAGCTCAGCTCCCTTCTCCTCGGGGGCACCTCAGGGTCACTTGAGAAATTATCACCAGTGGCCACAGCCAGGACCCCCAGGTGAGTGGTAACCGCCGTGACCCAAGATGGCCATTTTCAGACTTACAAAAAAAAAACGGAGGTGAAATTCAAAGGACAAAGGGTTCGGGTTCCTGCTCCCCGGGGGGGCCGCTGAGCAGACCCACTCCGTCTAGAACCCTGGCTTCCCCACCTCTGCGGCTGCCTTGGCTTCGGCCAGCCATTTCTTCCTTGTTTAAAAAATGTTTGTTTATTTTGAGGAGGGGGAGGGGCCGAGAGAGGAGGAGGGAGCGAATCCCGAGCAGGCCCCGCGCTGTGTGCGCAGAGTCCGACGTGGGGTTCAGTCCCATGGACCGTGAGGTCGTGCCCTGAGCCGAAATCAAGAGTCTGGCGCGTAACGGACCGAGCCACCCGGGCGTCCCATTCTGCGAGCCGTCTCTAAGCCTGGCCCTCCAGTGCACCCCCTGTGCCAAACCAGCCAGGCTGCACCCGAGGACGCAAGGCACGCGCACAGGGGTGGCGCCCTCCCTCCGGTCCCGGCCTGGGCAGCAGTGCAGTGGGGCGCACGCTGGCCAACATGAGCTTCTCTGGATGGTGCTCCGCGGAGGAGACCCCCAGTCTGCTGGGCACCCCGACAGAGCTGGGGCTCTCATGCTTCTCCGCAGAGCCCCCCGCTTTGCGGCCGAGCCCTAGGCAGACACGGGCCCCGCTGATGGTATAAGGAGCTGGAAACACTCCCCGTAACGATTCACACTTAGCAGGGGGGTGCGAGGCCTGCCAGAGGAGGCGGCCAGCACGGAAGCAGGTTGACCAGTGTGGGCATGGGGAGAGCGGAAACAGAGGTGGTTGGGTTCCCACTCCTGAAAAGTCCCAGAAACACCCAGAATGCTTGAGGCCAGTGCTCTGAGGCAAGGAAGACACAGCTGTCCACCCACGGGGCACTGGGAAGACCTGGGAGGATGGGAACCTTGCTCCCCCCTGCACCCACTTCCTAGGTCTGCGGCGGGAAAGGCTTAGCACCGGGGACCTCAGGGCCGGGAAAAGCCCTCCCCAGAGGGGACCTGGCGGCCGCGCCTTGTTCTGGCCTGGGCAGTTCTCACCACTAGGGGTCAGCATTGGACAGGAGACCCAGGAGGGGCCCAAGGGTCCTGACCTGCCACGGGTGCGGCCCACAATCCTGAAGGAAGTGATCCTGAAGGAAGTGATCGTAGAGAACCTTTGTGTCACCGTATCATCACTGTGTACGGGCACGTGCTAAGTGCTTCCCCTCCATTATTTAACTGAAACCTTCATAAAGGCCCCGTGGGGTATATGCCATTATCCCTACTTAGACTCGAAACAGGCCCCAAGAGGTGAAGGATCCTGCCCAAGGTCACACAGCTGGATTCAAACCCAGAACCCATGGCCATCAGCACATGGTTGGTCAGTGTCAGAGCTCTGAGGGAGAACCCCGAGTTCTAAGAGCTGCGTGGGCCTCCCCGCCCCTCATGAGCACCTTGCATAGTCTCCTTCCAGCCACGATCACGTTGAGACCCTGGTGGTTTCAAAGGCCCCTTACTTAAGTCATGGGATCCCTGGGCTTCCCCCAGCTACCTCCTGGGAGGGCAGGGTGAAGTAAAGACCATCTCCCCCATTCTGATACAAGATAAAGGGCGCGGAAGCCCAAAGAAGTTCAGTGAGTGGCCCCAGGTCACGCAGGGGCAGGCAGAACAGGACTGCAGGGCTCTGGACCCCTCCCACCAGGCCCGGACATACCACCTGGGTGCTCTGTCCCCACATGCAGGCTGGTCACCTCCATGGAAAACAGAGTTTGGAAGTACTTTGAAGGTTTGTTTTGGAATAGAAAAAGAATAACATTTTTTCCCTTGCCAACCCAAGTAACACATATTTCACTAGAGATGTAAACAGGAGGGGAAACAAAGGAACTAAAATCTCTTACAGTCCTACTACCCAGAAAATGACCACTCTTAATTTTTTGGTGCATTTCCTCCCAAAGCCAATGTTTTCCTAAACAAATACGTGTATTTTAGAATATTCTTTATGTTTTTATTTTTGAGAGAGAGAGAGAGACAGACAGACAGACAGACAGAGTGTGAGTGGGGGAAAGGCAGAGAGAGGAAGACACAGAATCCCAAGCAGGCTCCAGGCTCTGAGCTGTCCGCACAGAGCCCGACGCGGGGCTCGAACTCGCGGACCGTGAGATCATGACCTGAGCTGAATTCGGACGCTTAACCGACTGAGCCACCCAGGCGCCCCTAAATATGTGTATTTTAAATCAAGACGGGCTTGGTTTCTTTGCTGACAGTGGCCTGGGAGTGTGGTGGATTTCATCCCTGCAGGTGGAGGAGAGGCTGTGGCCCGGGCTCAGCGGTCAACCTGAGCAGACGGCAGACCCCGCGCCCAGCCACACCCTCTCCTCCGCCCATCCTGTCCGCGCGCCCTGTCCCCCGCGGCACGTCGTGGGTGCCCCGGCTGCGTGAGGGGGGGGGTGGGGCCTCACCATGGCCAGCTCGGCCTCCAGCTCCTTCATCCGGTTGTCCTTGAGGTCCAGCTGGGAGCGCAGCGCCGTGGCGTGGTCGGTGGCCTCCTTGGCTTGGCGCCGAAGCTCCCACTTCTCACGCTCCAGCAGGTCCTTCTCCTTAGCCAGGGCTTTGACGGCGTCCTCGCTCTCCTGTGGGGACGGAGCGCCAGGGGAGTTACAGCGGGGCTGCGGGACCGCCTCTCGGCCCACAGACACCCAGAGGGGGCCCTGACCCCTGGACCAGAGGAAGGGGAGGGGAGGCGCTCTGGCTGAGCCACAGATCAGCGGGGAGACTGGACACAGACAATCCGTTAGTAGATGCTCAGTGAACAGCGTTTCCACAAGAAGTGAGCAAATGAGCGTGACGGGTTAAGTCGTCTGACCTCGTCAAGTCTCCGTTGCTCCGTCTTTAAGAGAGGGGCAGGGGGTCGACACCGCTTGTTTCAAGTTACAAAGATCAAATGACTTTACACGTGGGAAATACGTGGCGTCTGACGCAGGTCTGGGTCAGTAACGGGTGTGGGGCTTTGTTCCGTTGTTTGGTAATGTGTGTGTCCCAGGCGCGGAGGGGCCCAGGAGACACCTGCAGCCCGGCTGCTCTGGCGGCCACGGGGTCCCGCAGCACCTCACGAGGTCACAGCCGATGACGGAGCAGGCCGAACCCCTCAGCTCGCTGCTGGGTCTGGATGCAGCACCGTCCTCCGCCAGTGCCCCCGCCAGGAGCCGTTCTTCCCGGGGTGCAGAGGGAAGGGCCGTGCAGGGGCCAAGCCAGCAGGCGGGGAACACAATCAGGGGGCCTGACCTCCCAGGGCAAGAGCTGGTGTCAGAAGGCCAGGTGCCCCTCCCGAGAAGAAGGGTCTCAGCACGGAGCCCCGCCCACCCACCCAGCAAGGTCTTCTGATTCAAAGTCCCTGTGTGGCCTGGGGCACATCCTGCCTCGTTTAACAGCAGAAGTCCCGACTTCCAGATGGCCAGAGCCAAGGAGGCCGAGGGCTGTCCCCTTCTCTGGGGCTGTCATGGGGCTGGAGCTATGGCTTGTGGTCTGGGGACAGAGAGAGTCCGGGTCAAATCCCGGCTCTGCAAGGACGAGCCGGGATGACTATCGGGCCTGGGCGCCCTGGTCTCTACTGCGGGGATAATACCGCAGGTACTTTAGGGTGTTGTTCTGGGGACTGAATGAGACAATCCACGCGGAGAGCTCAGCACGGTGCGAGCGCACGGCAGACCCTGCTCGACCGTCCTCTCTGACCACTCACCCGAGAGTAGCCCTGGGCTCCCTCCAACCTGCTGCCTGATACTGGTCATTCAACCCAGCCATATTCACGGATGCTGTCGGCAGGCATGAGCCAGACAAAAAAATCCTTGCATCCACGGGGCTCACAGAGAAAAGCCGTAGCGCGTGCGCCGCGAGAGCGGGGATGTGCCACTTCGGTTTCCTGGCGTGTACCCGGGTCCCAGGACGGCAGCCCGGCCAGCAGCAGCGGGTGACAGATGCTGCCGAAGAAATGACTGCGTGCGTCCCGGCTGCTGGGACGGCTACAAAGGCCCCCCCCCCCCCCCCCAGCTTCCTAGTGCAGTCTGGAGGAGGGGGTGCGGGGGACGATCCCTCCCAGGACGGGTCGCCGGCACCTGCTTTAGGGTCAGGGTGCCCGGGTAGGAGTCTCAGCTCGGCCCCCTGCAGGCTGCAGAACACTGGCCGAGTTCTTCAACTTCCCCAAACCTCGGTCACCCCAGTTGTGAGGCAGTGGTGATACCACCTCCTAGGGTGACGGGACGCCCAGCAGAAACCGGCAATGCAAGACACAGCGTATCGCGCAGTCACAGGGGAAGCTGTACTCTGACGTTCTGGAAGCAAGAGTCTCCGTGCAAGGAGGCATTCTACTGCTGATTAGTCCTTTCTCTGTGGGGCTGGGTTCAGGTGGGGTCGGTGCAAACAGGTGACAGGCATGGCCCCCGGCACCCATCCGGACGGGGAGCTCCTCCCCTGCGGGCGAGCTATGTTCTGGGCATCTGCCCCCAGCACGCAGCCACAAGCCTCGATCATAGAAGCGTGTGGAAAATGAATAACTGGTTAAGGACTGTCCCTTTGAACTGGTTGGTGTAACGAGAGGCTGCTTACAAAACATTCTTGAATCAGGAAGGTCCACTAGGACCCCGGGATCATTTTTGTCTCTGCGTCTCTTTGCAGTCACTGACTGCCCTGGTTGCGAGCAGACTGAGGGTTCCAGGCTGGGGGGGAAAGGCCTCCAGGTGCTTTCCGTCTTGGTGAGGACTCGGACACCCACCCCCATGATCACATTCCCTGGCAGCAGGAGGGCGGGGCTCAGTCGCAAGTGACACGGAATGTTCTGGACACACGTCAAGCATGGTGCCTCCGCGTTTTAGGCAATTATATTTAAACCTGACAACCCCCCGTGAGGTGGGGAACTATGACCATCCCTGTTTCACAGATGAGCGAACTGAGGCCAGAGAAGAACAGCTCCCCCTCCCACCTCCCCGAGAGTGTGGTGGAGGTCTCGATCCTTGCTGGTAACTGAGGCAGGAAAGCAACTGAAAGGAAACCCGCCAGGGAGGTTGGAACCACACGGGGGTCAGGGCGGTCGGGCCTCAGATGGCAAGGCGGGAGCGGGGTCCCTCTGCTGGCATGTGAGGCTCACTGGACAGAAGGAGGAGGGGTGCAGTGAGAATGGTGCTTCACGGGGACAGAGGCCTGTCTGCGGAGGTGAAGAGGGCAGGATGAAGGCGGCCCGTTGTGACAACAGCCTCACTACCCAAGACGGCCCTGTGTCTGGCCCGTGGCCCCCAGCCTGCCCGCCCGACTTGCCGCGAGAACTTTCTCGGCTGGATTTATGGAGAGTCCCAAATCGCCCTCCAAACTGCACCGTGTGACGGGGCACGAGCATCAGGCACAACTTTCTGGGAGGCTGCGTTTCCGCGAACTTTCTGGGCAGACTCCAAACCTCTCATTTCTCAGCAGCCTGTGCCTTTGCTGACCCCAGTAGCTCAGAGAACTGGGGTCCTGCCCCCTGCTCCAGGTGAGGCCTGCAGGGGTCCTCAGGAGGAGCTGGGTGGGCCGTGGCAGGCTAAGTGGCAGGACCAAGGAGGGCGGGGCATCTAAAGGTTCTGTTAATCCTGTTCGCGGGGACACTTACTTTGTGCATAAAATGCAACTTTTTTTTTTTTTTTTTTTAACCAGTTGCAAGGTCTTGGAAGAGACAATAAAATCAGGACTTGTGGTTTTAGCTTCTCCAGACCAGCTCTAAACAGGTGGCTTTGGGTCAGTCCCTGGACCCTTCATAGCCTCAGTCCTCCCGTCTGTAAAATGGGGTTGCGCCCAACAACGATTAAAGACCCACCACAATGTTGCTCTTCCACTGACAGGCTAGAAGTACAACTTGCTCCACATGATGAGGGTTAAGACACTAAGTTTTCTTTTAATCAGTGTTTTCCAAATTCCTTTTTCTGAATGAATCTGAAGGCTCTTGCCATTCCGTAAGAGTGACGCTCGGTGCTGAGCTGTGGCCATCTATGGCTGCCCGTGGCTGGCTTCGGATTATTCAGCAGCTTCAACCCTACCTCCCCCATTGCTGGCTGGACTTAGGGGGGTGCCCCCAGGTACCTGCGACTTAAAAAAGTCACAGCACGGACCTGGCGGAAGGTGGATCTCTGTGGAGATTTTATTTTCAAGGAAAAGCATGTCTCTAAAATGTGATGACCCACTGAAAGACGGGAGCGATGTTGGCTATTAAGCCCCAGGATGGTCACACTGCCGCTGAAATGCTCAGCACAGCACCCATGGCTCACGAGGGCAGCTGGGACCTCTTCTCTGTGGTCTGCCTTGGGTTGCTCTGTAAACAGTTAACAGCGGAAATAACTCGGGTCTGTCCAAACTCCTACACATCCGCAGAGCCCCACTCCTAGGTCACCTCCTCGGAGAAGCCTTACGAGCCTCTCTCCCTGCAGGCAGAATTTCTTGCTGTCGCCCCGGCTCTCTCTTCACACTTTTGTTGTGGTATCATTAGTAAGGCGCCTAGCGAGTATTTACTGAGCACTCACTGGAAGCCAGATGCCATGCTGGGTGCCCCGCATGGCGTCTCCATCACAGCCGCACGAGGTCTGAGGCTGCGAAGGTTAGGTGAGATGCCCAAGGGCACGCCCACAGGGGGCTGGGATCTGAATTCGGGCCACCCAGAATCCACAGTCCTCACTGACACTGGCTGGGCTGTCCTGTCCGGGCTTGTCTGCCCGGGAGGCACGGAGGCCCCCCAATTAGGGGCTGTGCCCATTTCTTCTCCGTGCCCAGGCCCGGGCCAGACATATTGCAGGCCTCCTCAGGCGGCCACAGGTGACACGGGCAGTGAGTGCGTGTGCTCGGGGATTAGAGAAGCCAGACCCCTTGCTAGGCAGAGAAGGCAGCCTGCAGGCAGTGGTAGGTGAGGGTGCTGGTGTCTACAGGGGGAGGGGAGGAAGCTGGTGTCTGGGAGGGGGAGGGGAGGAGGGGGAGGGGAGGAAGCTGGTGTCTGGGAGGGGG